GGTGCCTCCACTGCTCCTGGAAAAATTTCATGACCTTAAATATGGCTCCAAAGAAAGGTACTGGACCATGCCTACAGAAAAAATGAGAAGGAATTAATATACCAAAGTAGCCTAAGGATCAGATCTAAGAAACTCTGGGGGGAGAAATTAATGGAGGAAGAAGCCAAGAGTAAAACTACAGTTCCTGAATGAATGGACATTCTCAGTCTCTGTAAACTTTCATTAAAATTAATAATAAAAAAAATTTTTTAAAACCCCTACAGTTCCTACCGTAGCACTTCTTTTCCAGAGTAGAAAACATTTAGCTTTTCACTTCTATATGTACTTTTATAAGTTGCATGCCTCTGAAGATAAACTCCACATTTTGAATGGAGAACATAACAAGAAGGAATGAAGGTTTCCCTCCACCTATCCAAATCCTTCTTTTACTCTCTAAATCACTCAGTGTAAGTGTCTGACATTCCCAATATTTAAATGAAATCCAGAAATTCAAGGAAGAAAACAAATGAAAAAGGAATTTGTTGCCATTGTAAATTAAAAAAAAAAAAACCACCAGAATACTCAACATGGAAGCTGACTGTGTTTAAGCCACAGCCAGAGACAAGACTGATGTATTCAGAGAAAGCCACACACTTATCATCTCCCAAGAATTACGAATTTAGGGTTTAGCATACATTCAGTGGATGAGTTTTCAAGAATACGGTAGCCCTAACATATCATCTAAAGGTACGTTTTCTGGTGGCTTACAGGAAAAAAAACTGTACTGCAAATGCAAAGGGAAACAGTTCAATTATTCTAGCTGTTCTGTAGGACAAAGATGAGCACTCTCCTCCCATGGGATTTATTAACACTCAAACCCCTCTGGCTCTGTAGGACAAAGATAAGTAATCTCCTGTGGGATTTACTAACTCTCAAAACCCAATGGAGGGTCACCTAGGCGTCAGTTCCTATTAGACAGTTCATACCTACAACATATGGAAGTAGAGAGAGTTCTGGGGGCCTACTGTGTAGGGAACTGTGCTGCCAAGCCAGAGGTGGTGCCTCTCTGGTGGTTCCAATCCACCAGAGGATACAGAGAAAGATGGAGATGCTCCTCCCATGGGACTTACAGTTACCAAACACCTGCTGGAGAGCCAGCTATGAGTCAGTTATAACTTAACAATGAGTGTGAGTTTTGAACTTCACAAAACTAGCAGCTCAAAAGAGGGAGCCCTACTACCCTCTAATCCAATGACCTTCAGCAAGTTGTAAAGCTTTCTGAGGCTTAGTTCTTATGTAAATTTTCATCAAGAACAGAGGGAAAATAATCAGGTTTATAGATCCTTCTTGCTGCATCATGTGCTTTATAAAAATACTGTATTTTAATTAAAAGTATTAATCAAGTTATTCTTGTTTTCAGCTTTTGAGTTCACTACATGAAATCTATGAATCAGGAAGAAGCCAGGGAAAATGCAGGGTGATAACAAATGAAGGCCAAAAAATTTTGCAAATCACATCTAAACTCACATCAAAGCTGAACAAAACCTAAGCACTAGATCTATAAATAAAATTATTTCCAGATACATTGCAGTCAAGCTTTTAAAAAAAAACAAACACAACAGTAAGAACGTGATAAAATAGCTAAAGCAGCAGTATAAACACATGCAGAACAAATTGACCATATAGTTATGTGCCACTGAGTTGCTTGCAACTCATTGCGAGCCCTAAACCCTGCTCTATCCTGTGCCAAACTCACCATCTCTGACACATCCACTCCCAATCACTAAATTGATCCATCTCATCTAGGTTCTTCCTCTCCTGCACTCTCCCAAACATGATGTCCCTCTCCAAGTACTGGTCCCTCCTTGCAATATGCCCAAATACATCAAAGCTTCAGAATCTTGCCTTCAGGGAGCAGCCTGGCTTCACCCTCTCTAGGACAAACCACTTTATTCCCCTAGTAGTCCATGATATATTCAACACTCTTCTCCAGCACCACAGCTCAAAGGCATCAATTCTCTTTTTATCATCCCTAATCACTGTCCATCTCTCTGACACATAGCACACCATTGTGAAGACTATGGCCCGGTTCTGATGTACCTTAGTCTCCAGCCTGATGTCGTTGCTCTTCAGTACTCTGGAGAGGTCCGTGACAGCTGACTTTCTCAATGCAATTTGTCTCTTGATTTCTTGGCTGCTGGTGCTAAGAGTATTGACTGTGGAGCCAAGCAAACTAAATCTGGTAACAATCTCTTCACCATCCATAATGATGCTGCCAGTTAGCCCAGTAGTGAGAATCTTTGTTTTCTTGATGTTGCGCTTCAATACATATTGAAGGCTGCAGTCCTTGACCTTGTGCAGTATGATTCCATTTTATATAAAATCCTAGAAAATGCAGATAATCTAGGGGAAGGGCAGAGAAAGGCAAGGAGATTGTAAATGCACAAGAGGAAATATATAGAGATGATGGAAATGCTTAACAGAGAGCAAAGACCAGTGGATGGCTTTACGGAACAGAATTTTATTCTGTCCTAATTTATAAATCATCAAGCCTGAAATCAGTACACTAGCTCCACAAGAAGGGGTTCCTCTCTGTGACATCTGGGGGGAAAGATCTTGTCACTTTTCAATGTGTGTGTGTAGGCCTTGGTGTGTACTCATGCTTTGGCCACTCTTTGTCCCAGATCTATGAAGTTCACAGTACAGGACTCAGATGTCAAGTATGTTCTGTACTCCTGGCTATTTTGTTGTTAGGAGCCATTAAATTGAGTATAACTCATAACAACCCTATGAACAACAGATCTGAATCTTATCATATCCTGTACCATTTTCACAATCTTTGACGCCCTTTTAGCTCACTGCCGCATTAACTACCTGTCGAGAGTCTTCCTAAGATCCAGGGACCCAATGTGAAAAGCTAACCTAGGACTGTAGCCCCATTCAGCTAAAGGCAGGGGCATACATCCAAGATTGCTTCAATTTGGATGGGTGGATATGTCACTGGCAGCTCTGAGGGAGCTTTTAAGCACTGGTCTAACGCTATAAGGGTGAAGGACCTGCAAGCACACTTCATAAGTTGACCTGGCTAAGAAATTATATCATATTTGCAAAACCTGAGTTGGAACCCGCTAACTTTCCTACTAAACGCCATAATCATATGATTCTGTGAAGTATGTGTAACATAGCAATAGACTTTGAATCCTGGAGAACTGTAGGACTAGTATTGGAATTAGAAGTAGGTGCAGGATGGCAGATATATCAGATCTCATGGGAATTACTTTTATGTTGCAGATACTCTTGATGGGGACACTTGACCACTGTGGAGTTAATCAAGGTCAGAAATGGCTGTCCGTCTTCATGCTGGCCTTATTCTTTGCACTGCCCATATTTAAGGAGTACACTGAAGACAGTTTCTTAGTGACCACATGTAGGGAATAGGCTGACTACAGGCTAATCGGGGAGCTCAACTCTCTTTTGGGGTTTACTGTGAAAAAACACATTTTCAATGCAAATCAAGAGAGGGTGAGTATTTGAGACACATATGAGATGAGTGAAATCTACTGAGTTTATTTGAAGAAAGGGCACTTCAAGTCTACATTCTACCTACATGTCAAAGAGCACACATGAGCTCTCTGGTCCTATGTCGGCTTGAGCTCTGTATCATAAAGACATGCTCTGGATTCCTAGTGAGAAAGAGCTGAGCTGATGTTATTCCTGTGAAATTACAGCATCTCTATTAGAAGACATTAAGGAAACATAAAGTGCACTCCAAGAGGCCAAACTAACTTCCAAGTTAAAAAATAATAGTAGGTTCTCCCTTTTCAATCTATGAACGTACACAAGTATAGAACAGATGTAATAATTCTGCAGGTGATTTTTTAAAAGTTCAGTATTGTCATTGGACTGACAGTCAGACAAGGATTAAAAGAATCTGGCCCTGGAGAGCACTTTCGCCCCAGATGAAATCTTTGATGTCCATCAAAATTTGAGCTCTTGCTGAAACATTTTACACTGCAGTAATATACTAACTTTACTAATAATTCCCATAATGGTAAGTATCGCTGTGTGAAATATGGGTAGCTTTTGCAATGGATCCAGACCCTGGAAAGCACCAGGTTGGTTGCTGGAATTAGAAGTAGGTGTAGTCGTATGAGGGTATATCAGGCCGTTTGGGAAATGGTTTTATGTTCTAGATACTGCTGATGGAGACACTTCCCCAGATTGATCTAATTCTATGCAAAAACCACATTTAAGGAGTACAAGGGAAACATATGCTTAGTGACTACATTTAGGGAGAGTCTGGATAAGGCTCAAGAGGGAGCTCAATCATAACCTCAGGTCTTCTGTGAGAAAAGACATTTTCAGTATCAATCACCATTTCAAGACACAATTGAGATGAGGGGTGAATCTACTGAGTTTATTTAAAGAAAGGGCACATCAAGTTTACACATTGTACACACATGTATAAGAGCACTCATGAGTGCCTTAGTCCTCTATATCTGCTTGAGCTCTCCAGCAGCAAGACATTCTCTGGAAAATTACTGATAAAAGGTGGTGCTGATGTTATTACTGAGAATGGTAATTATAGCTGCTCTGTTAGAAGACATGGAACAAGCATGAAATCCACTCCAAGAGCTCAACTTAAATTTCAAGTTCAAAAACAACTGATGATTCTCCCTTTTCAATCCATGAAAATAGAGATACAACAGATGAAATCCTGCAGGTGATTCCAAAAGCTCAGTATGTGCCACTCACTACAGACTCAGAAAAAGATAAGAGTCTGGTAATGGAAAGGACTTCCTCCTCAAATGAGATCTCTGATGTCTGTCAAAATTTCAGCTCCTGTTGAAACTCTTCCCAAGGCAACAAGATTAATAAGATTTATCGATTATATGGACCCTCTGATGTCTCATAAAGTTGGACTTACGAATTTCTTTTCACAGATGGGAAATATATAGCATTGCTCTCTTGTATGGACCCAGAGGTATATAAAAAAGCTTGAGCTGTCAATGAAACTTTTCTCAGAGAGGACATTTGTAGGGTTTCTCTCCTGTGTGCAACTGCTAGTGTCTATTAAAATCACCTCTGAATTAAACGCTTTTCAAAAGAAAAACTTACAGTTTTTCTCCTTTTTGGATGTGCAGATGTCTATTAAAGTTGGACCTTTCAATGAAACTCTTCTCAGAGAGGACATTTATTGGGTTTCTCCCACGTGGACTCACTGGTGTCTACTTAAGAGAGACCTGTTGCTGAACCTCTTTTTCAGAGAGAACATTTATACAGTTTCTCCCTTGTGGACTGACTGGTGTCTACTAACGTGGGCCATCTTAGTGAAACTCTTTTCACAAAAAGGACATTTATAGGGCTTCTCTCCTGTGTGGACCCGCTGGTGTCTATTGAAGGAGGATCTGTCTCTGAACTTCTTTTCACAGACAGGACATTTATAGGGCTTCTCTCCTGTGTGGACCCGCTGGTGTACATTAAAGTTGGCCACCTGAGTGAACCTCTTTTCACAGAGAGGACATTTATAAGGTTTTTCTCCTGTGTGGACCCGCTTGTGAATATTTAAGTCGGATTTGCAGCCAAAACTCTTTTCACACAGAGGACATTTATAGGGCTTCTGTCCTGTGTGGATCCACTGGTGTCTATTTAAAGAGGACCTGTTGCTAAACCTCTTTTCACAGACAGGACATTTATAGGGCTTCTCTCCTGTGTGGACCCTCATGTGTATACTTAAGTCGGGTCTGCGGCCAAAACTCTTTTCACACAGAGGACATTTATAGGGCTTCTGTCCTGTGTGGACCCGCTGGTGTTTATTTAAGGAGGACCTGTCGCTGAACCTCTTTTCACAGACAGGACATTTATAGGGCTTCTCTCCTGTGTGGACTAGATAGTGTACATTAAAATTTGCCACCTGAGTGAAACTCTTTTCACAGAGAGGACATTTATAGGATTTCTCTCCTGTGTGGACCCACTTGTGTTTATTTAAGACAGAGATGCAGCCAAAACTTTTTTCACATAGAGGACATTTATAAGGCTTCTCTCTTTTGCGGACTACCTGGTGTTCATTTAAGGTGGACCTGCTGCTGAACCTCTTGTCACAGAGAGGACTTGCATGTGGTTTCTCTCCCGTGTGGATTTTCTCATGGTGGCATAATCCAGAAAAGTCCCTGAAGCTTTTCCCACAATGATCACACCTGCAAGGCTTCTCCCCTATGTGGATTCTCTGATGCTTCACAACATCTGAATTTCGCAGAAGGGTTTTTTTGCAGGTGGGGCACTGAAAATATGTCTTTCCAGTATGAGTTCTCTGGTGAAACACAAGCTGAGAATTTCTACAAAAGGTTTTCCCACACTCTCTGCAGGTGAGAAGTTTCTGGGTCATCTGAGGTCTCAACTGGTTCTCCTGGGGGGTTTCTTGCTTCTGCTTCGGTAACAATCCAGAGAGACCTCCTGGGTGAGAATCATGCAAATACTGGTAGGACTGTTTCCCAGAAATGTTTTCCTGAGGAGAGAGAGGCTCTTGTCTTTTCTCATCTTGATGGTGTCCCTGTGCCTTAGGAGGATAATCTCCTTCTCCAAAGATTCTTTGTTCACTCTCACCAAAGAAGTCACTCAAAGAACCCTGAGGAGGGGCCTCTCCTGAGATGTGACAAGGGTCAATTGGAGGCTTCTGGTCCGAACAGATTTCTAAGTTGAGGTTCTCTTCGCCATTCTCTTGCCTGTCGCCTAAAAGAAGAAAGAAGGTCTGAAATATTGTAATAAATTTTACACTCTGTTTTCTCCTTATATGCGAAGTAAAGAGCATCATTTTAACCAGAGGCCATTAATGAGTAAGAGGGTAAAAACCATCATCCATATTAATGGCTTGGTACTAAATTCAGGTGCCTGAATTCCCCATTGAATTTTCCACTCCTGAGTCGAAGAAAATTTTGGAGAAACAAATCAGGGCCCATTGGACATTTACTGTCATCCCTCACAATTATACAGCACAGATTTCTCATGAGGCAGAGGGGAAAAAATTGTATAAATAAACATGATTTTGTTCTTATTAAATGATGGTCTTATTTGGTTACATATTACAGAGGAATACCATTAAACAATTTTTTAAAAAATTTTATTTAAAATGTACCATCAAATCAGATCTGACTGGTACAGGAGTAGATTGTTCCTCCTTCTCCAGCAGAGCATCTGGTGGATTCTAACTGTGCACCTCTGGATTGCAGTGCAGCTTCTTGCCACTAGGCTACCAGAGCTCCCCGAAACAATTTTTAAAGAGGCACAAAAATATGCACAAGAAAATAAAAATCACCTTCAATCACATCCTCAAGAAAAACTACTTTATTTGCTTTACTTCTTTTTTTCAAAAGACTACAACTGTTCTTTTCTCATTTTTATACTGCAAACTACAATTCATTGTCAAGCTTGAATCAAAAGAAAGTAAATATGCCATTCTTAAGTTTTACAGACATTTTCCCACTCATATATAATCAAATTATTAATCAAATGTTGTAATTTTTCATTTTAAAAGAGGAAGCTTTATTATGGTGAAGCTGTTGCAGAAAAGTGAATTATTTGGGCTGAGGTTTAATCCAGCATCTATATCTATTATTAACTTCTAGAAAACATTAAATATCTATCCTAATTAAGAGTCTGATGAAAATTAATCAAAAACCACTGGAAAAGTACATCAACAAAGAATTGCTAGAAGTGCAGGCAACGTTTAAAAGAGGCTGTGGTATTAGGGATATTATAGGTGAGGTTGGATGGATCTTAGCTGAAAGCAGTGAATCAGAGGAATGTCTGTGTTTTACTGACTATGCAAAGGCATATGACTTTGTGGATCACAACAAACTCTGACCAACTGAGAAAAATGGGAATCTTAGAACATTTGATTGTTCCTATGCAAAACCTGTATTTATTTACACCAAGAGGCAGTAGACAGAACAGAGCAAGGAATTGCTGCATGGTTAAAAATTGGGAAGAGTGTATACCAGCGACATGTTTTATCTCCATGCCTTTTTAATCTATATGTGGAACAAATCATCTGCAAAGCTGGGCTCTATGAGAAGTGCAGCATCAGGATTGGAGGAAGATTCATCAACAACCTGCATTATAAAGATGACACAACCCTGCTTGCTGAAACTGAATAGGGCCTAGAGTGCTTGCTGTAGAAGGTCAAGTACTGCAGCCTTAAATATAATTGAAGCTCAACATCAAGAAAATAAAGATTCTCTCCACTGGGCCAACTGGCAGCATTATAGTATAGATGGGGAAGAGACTGAGATTATTAATAGCTTTAGTTTGCTTGGCTCCACAATCAACACTCTTGGTACCAGCAGCCAGGAAGTCAAAAAACGAACTGCATTGTGAATGTCTGCTGTCACAGATCTTTCCAGAGTACTGAAGAGCAATAATGTCAGTCTGGAGACTAAGGTGCACCTAATCCAGGTGACAGTCTTTGCAATTACCTATTATTATGCATCAGAAGGCTGGACAATGACTAGGGATGATAGAAAGAGAATCGATGCCTTTGAACTTTGGTGCTGGAGAAGAGTCTTGAACATACCATGGTTTTCCAGGTTGTCCTGGAGAAGGTCAAACCAGGCTGCTTCTTGGAGGCAAGGATTCTGAGGCTTTGTCAGACATACTTTGGGCATGTTGCAATGAAGGACCAGGTCTTGGGAGATGGATATCATGCTTGGAAGTGTGGAAGGACAATACAGGAAGGGAAGATCCTTGATGAGAGTAATTGATTCAGTGACTGGTGTAATCAGTGTAGATGAGTCAGAGACAATAAAGTTGGCACAGGACACAGGATTCAGTGGTACTGTACATAAGGTTGATAAGAGTTGTAAGTGACTCAAAGCACATAACAAAAATCCTAACTCCAGTTGTGGTTACAATCACTACACAGTGATGTGCACTTGATATTTCTGTGTTGGCAGTAGAACGTCTTGTCAGAATTTTGTCCACTGTTACTACCATAGATCTAAAGAAGTTATTTGCCTTTTTCTTCTATGTACCAAGGTCTTTCAAGGCTAACATTAAGAACTAGGCCTGAACTTGTTAATTCAAACATTTCTTTTAAATGGTAAAGTTGTTTTCTTTTGCCTTAAAAGAGTGATTTTAAATATTCTTTCGTAATGGTTGAATAATCATTCATCATGGAAATGTACTTCACATAATTGTGTATGAATTCTCTTATTTGCAAAATTAAGTTTTTACCACTATAAACAATGGTATTTTTTTCATCAGTCTTCCTTTGCATTTCTGATCAATTCCTTAAGGCAAGTTCCTCCCGGAGGTATGACTGTCTTCACACATGCACGGTAAGGCTGTGGATACCAACTGATGTGCACTTTACTCCAATGTACAATGCTCTACATGTGTTTAACTGCACTCCACAGGGTTTTCAGTGGCTGAGTTCTACACAAGGAGCTATCTAGGTGTTTTTTTGAGGGCCTGCTTTGTGGATTCCTGTATGGCCTATTAGTTGCAGCGAGGTGTTCTAATTATTTCCATCATTCAAGGCTTAAAGATCCACATATTTGGGGTCAGCTAATTTGTGTAACAACTGTGCCATCTTTTGGTATAAGTGTTCACTATATAAATACTGAGTTTTAATTTTAAAGATGTGTGGTTTGGTTAGGTTAAAGCTTGTTTTTCATTGTTTTAAATTCAAGTATTCAAGTATGAAACTACTGTTCATTTTTCATGCTTTAAGGCTTCTTTCCATTTTTCTTTAAGTAACTTTTAAATCAAGTCTATTTTCATATTAAAAAAAATAAGTGATGATCTGTAAGATTCATGCAAAGTTTTCAACCAATTTCTAACTTTTAGGTTATTTTTTACAGCGAGAGAAGTCTTGATTCTTTTTCTCAGTGTTGTTCTTATGTGCTGTCCAGTTATCTGTGACCCTATCTTTAAATAATCTGTCTCTGACACACCTACTCTGTTACCAAGTCAACCCATCTCATCCATCTCATCTCATCTCTTCCTCACCTGCGCTGTCCCTCTAACCTTCCAAACATGATGTTGCTCTGTAAAGACTTTTCCCTCCCAGCAATATACCCCAAGTATGTGAGATATGAAAGAAAAATGAAGTTCATGTATATTATATAACATGGAACAACAATGAAATCACACTGCAGTGCATAAAGTAAGCCAATCACAAAAGGACAAATTATATCTCAACTTATTGCTGTCAAGATGGAACTGACTCATAGCAGATCCTCAAAGAAGTATCCAAGGGTATAAATCACATGAGAAGATTTTGACTACCTTTTTCCTGAGAAGCCACTGGCAGATTCAAGCCATCACAACTACGTAGACACACCACCACCAAAGCTCAGTTTTTACATAATCTCACTAATATGAAAAATCTGTGTTCCTGTTTGACATTGTCGAGTTGTATATAATTCACACACCCTGTGAACAAGAGAACTTAATACTGACCTATCATGTGCCATCCTCATCATCTGATACACTTGAGACCATTACAGTAGCCATGATGTCAAACCACCTTGTTAGAGTTCTTCCTCTCTTTCACTGACAATCCTCCTTTCTGAAGAATGGCCTCTCCTAGTAACATGTTCAAAGATGTTGATGAAGCTTCACCACCCTTGCTTCCAAGCAGCATTCTGTTTGCATTTGGCACAAAAAGGAACTTAGATCAATGAACTGTTATTGTTGTTGTAACCCACCAGTGGGTTTTCAAAGGCAGTAAGTTGCATGGGAAGAGAATACCCATCTTTGTTCTGTGAAGCAACTGGTGGATTCAAGCCACATGCCTTTGTAACTGTGCAGTGGTTTCTTATCACTGGACCACCAGAGCTCCCTATGCACTATCTAGGATAGGCAATTACACAGAGACCAAACATTATGAGTGCTTTCCAGGGACAGGGAAGGAGAGGACACAGTAGTCATTTTTGTAAGCACTGAGTTTCTCTTGATGGTGATGGGAAATATGGGAATAGATTCTGGTGACAGATGCACAACCACATTCATGTAAGGATGCTACAAAATGTACAAATGAAAACATTAAACATGGAAAAGATAAATTATATATAGTATCTATCTCATGGACTGCCAAAAATCAGTCTTCTTTTCTTAGAGGATGTGCAAACAGGGTGCTATTTAGAGGCAAGGACAGTGAAACTTCACCTCACACACTGGACATGTTATCTGGAGGGGGCTGCTGCTGTTGTGCTTATGTGCCTTCAAGTCACTTGCAACTCATACAACCCTATGTACAACAGCTCTATCCTGAGCCACCTTCATTGTCTCTGAAACAGCTACCCCCATTATCTAGTCACTGAATCAATTCATTTCATCCAGAGTCTTCCTCTCTTGTGCTGTCACTCCACCCTTCCAAGTATGATGTCCCTATTCAAGAACTGGTCCCTCTTTACAACATGTCCAAAGTATGTCAGACAAGGCTTAAAAATCCTTGCCTCCAAAGAGCAATTGGGCTTTATCCTCCATAGAACAAACCTGTTTGTTCGCCTAGTAGTTCACAGTATATTCAATACTCTTTTCCTGCACCACAACTCAAAAGCATCAGTTCTTCTATCATTCTTACTCTGTACCACTCTCTGAGGCATAGCAGTAACTTCAAAGACCATGGCCTGGATCAGGTGCACCTTAGTCTGGAGACTGACATCATTGCTCTTCAGTACTCTGGAGAGATCTCTGATACAGATTTTCCCAAAGCAATTTGTCTTTTGATTTCCTGACTTCTTGACCCACAAGTGTTGATTGTGGAGCCAAGCAAACTGAAGCTGTTACCAATCTCATTCTCTTCACTATCTATCATCATGCTGACAATTAGCCAAATGGTCAGAATCTTTGTTTTCTTGATTTTTAGTTTCAATTCATATTGAGGGCTGTAGTATTTGACCTTCTATTTTTTTATTGATTAATTTATTATTTTTGAAAACCTGGAACTCAGGAGCTAAAATAATCATATTCCTTCTTCCCCATCTCTGAGTAGTGCCATCATTTTAATAAGCGGTGCTCTGATAACAGAATAGAATCTTTATTATGGGAGTGTCCTTGTACAACAGGGGACAAAGGGCTTACAAAGTAAGTAGACTGGCTCAAATGAACAATTACCTTTGCTTGTTTTAGCAGTTTGTTTACAAATGAATGGGTTCTAGGCCTAAGTTATTATTAGTTTTCAATTCTTTGTAATTTGATATCAAAACATATAAAAATAGTAAGCTAAACCAATATTCAAACCCATATTTTACTGGCTTTAAATTACACACTTGAGTATTTATAAGGTTAAGTTTAAATGAAAAGTCTCTATTGTATTAAAAAAACCCACTATAGCCCAAATGAAGTGCCCTGGGGCAATGCAAATCAATCAGCTAAGGATCAGGGACTGCATTAGGAACCAGGCAGTACTCAGTGTTACAACAAAGCAGTTTATTTGTGATCAGTGTTTGAGACTCCATACATCCTTCACAAACTTAATTTTATATAATCTGATACTTTTAAACTTTGAACTGCTAGTCTTTTATTTCTCTAGAACAGAAGGGCTGGTATAAGTTATTTTCCAGAAATGAGGTACCACTTCACAGAACTGGTTTCTTTTTTGGTTTTAAGTTTTAAAGAACTAAATTTACATCTGTTAAAATAAAAAAGTAGGAAAGATGTTCTTTACAAATAATTTTGATCAAGTATGTGTTCAAAGAAAGCGGGCTAAAAAGGCTTTTACTCTAACATAGTGTATTGTACTGTATTGTTGCTCAATAGGAATTAGCTTCTGTTATTTGCTAAAAGAATGAGTAGTGGGGAACAGGATATGTTGGGAATTTCACAACGGGCAACAGAACCATGCTCTTGGGTAAACCATAGGCAGCGACAGCTGTGCTATAACCATATGGTGTTCCATATCATGGAGCGATATAGCCAGGAGCAGTTGTGGCCCCCACAAAAGCTCCCCTTGCCAGTGTTCCTCTTCCTCTGCCCCTAACAGCCTGGACTGCTGCTGACACAGCTGTATTCACAACACCCTCTGCATGAGGGATAATCTTCTTCTTATTATTATTTGCTGCATTAGGTCCAGAAAGGACCCTAACAGCCTGGACTGCTGCTGACACAGCTGTGTTCACAACACCCTTTGCCTGCGGGATAATCTTTTTCTTATTATTTGCTGCATTAGGTCCAGAAAAGAGCTTCTCGAGGGTGGCTAAAGCTGCACTTGCCTTCGCTACTTTCTTATTTGGACCTGCGCCTCTGAATTTTTGTCCATCTACTTCTACCTCCATTACAAAGCGTTTGTCGTGGCTTCCACTCGTCTCTGAGATGAGTTCATACTTAAGACCTCTTCTTTTTTCATTAAGCTCCATTACAGGATTTTTGCCACTTGCTGTGAGGACAGGGCCCTGAGTTCTTACCTCTAAGGTGCTGGAGGTTTTAGTTGTAGAATTTCCAGTATTATTGCTTGAGTTTGAAGACACTGTTTCATTTTTGCTTTCATTATCTGACTTTTCATCTGAACTCATACATTCAATAACTGCATCAAAGCCTGTTGGATACCCCATTGCCTGCAATACCTTTACTGCTACATGAAGTTTTGCTGTCTTCTTAGATGGTCCTGAAGCTTCAGATGTTGTCCCATCCACATCTACAGACATGGTGAAAACGGGGGCATGAACAGGGCCAGACTGAGATAACAGTTTATACTGAAGTCCAGGCCTGATCTGATTTAATCTCATTAGTGCATTCATAAGGTCTATTGCTTTACTGTCCAGGATTTTCCTTAGGTTGTGTTTCATCTTCTTGTTTGGATCTTTATCATCCCCTAATCCATCCTCAAATGGTCTCTTTGAAGCTGAAGACCCAGAACCTTCTTTACCAGTGACCAACCAGGAATATTTCTGAAAAGGCTTACTAGATGGAAGGGGTTCATCTCCAGCACTTTATAAATCTGGCCAAAGGCTGATAACCTGAGTGCATGCTGTGCACTGTGGATAATATCTTCTTTTTTGCTGAACAGTCAGAGCATCTGCTGGATCTCGTTCACAAGGGTCGTGAAGACCAGGACCTTCAGGAAGTAGTATTCCAGATGCCAAACACTCCATTACTCGTCTCAAGGCCTCCCCAGCGCCCAAAGGTCTATTACAAGTACCTATAGACTTTTCACATATAAGCTCTAGTGGCCATCCTTTTAATGGTGCCCATGTGGGAACTCTGTTGCACAAAACACGCAGAATGCGGAGGACAATTACACATGACTTTAATCCATTTGCCCTTGCCTGAAACCATTTTGCATGTAAAAGAGACGCCAAGGCATTCAGGCATTTCCGCCTGTCCAATAAGTCCGGAGGATCTTTCATGGCAACATTTTCTCCATCCTTTTTCTCCAAATCGTCCCTAATTAGAAGAGATGTAAGTATCACCTTCAAAGTTAGCATGGGTTCTTTTGTATTCCGAATTATAATAGATGCTTCATTTACACATTGTTCCACTTGATATTTCTCTTCTGTGAGTTTCTGAATCTGAAAAGGAAGGTTGTCTTTAACTGTATTTAACAGGGTTTCTGTGGGTTTGTCTTTGCACATTAAAACCTACTCCAAGTCCATATCATCCTTAATCAGCAAGCCTTTTGCCACCAGGCCAGTTCTCATTATACCACACAATGTCCGAACACCTTGATCTTTGGAATAGTTTTCTACAGCCTCATCTTTCTTCACTTCTGTCTCTCCCTCTCTTTTTGTGCCTTTGTTTGTCTCATCTAGCCAGTCTGAGACATGTTTAAGAGCACATTCAACAGCAGACACCATATTCTTAACAGCTTCAAGTTCCTCTGGAGATGGGTAAATTGTTGACCGTTTCACCATTACATGGCAATCATCATTGGCAAAAGATCTAATAGATCTCTTGATTTCCTATAGTACTTCAGCTTCTTTTTCCGATCCTTTCTTCTCTTACTTGTAGTCTTCACTAGACACTGCTTTGTGTGACAGAACCTCCTCATAAGCCTGAGTCCCCAGAAAACTCAGAATCAATATGGCAAAGATATTTAGAGACTTGTTCTCTGGAATATACCAGTGCCGCTGTGTTCTGCCCGTGCCCGGTTCCTGCTCCTGCTCTGCTGCCGCTGCCATCTCGTCCACTCACGTCTCCGTCTCCTCAATCCAGTGGCTGCGGCAGCTGCTGCCCTGGTGGCGCTCACGGCTCCAGTCCAGTCTTTGACCTTCTGTAGCAAATGCTTTAGAAACTCCTCAGTTTCAGCGAGCAAGGCGAGTCCTTAATAAAAGACATCATGCTAGGAAAGGTGGAGGCCCTGCTAAAGAGACGATGACCATCAAGCAGATGGACTGGCACACTGCCTGTAACAATGGGCTGGAGCATGCTGCAGGTTTTCATGAGTGAACAAGTTATGGCAAAGTTCAGATCTGTGGTTCACAGCTCCATGAGTCGTATGTCCACTCGACAAAACATAACAACTACAGCATTGCTTAATGCAAGTTAGAGACTAGTTAAGATACTTATAGATTTTTGGTGCTGCTTTATTATAGAGAGAGTTGGTTATTGTTCATTATAATTACATTAAAAGAAACTACTTTGAAAATTCTTGCTAGTAAGGAGAAGGATGGCTAATATAAAACATTACTTTGAATTGAATTTTACATGTTTTTGTATTTGTCGACTCTAGATCAGTATTAATTCTCACTGAAGTAAATCTATTACAACTTTACAGAACAAACTAAAGACAAGAAATGTGAGACTACTCTTTAATTGTAAAATACATGTGTCAACAGCCTGATAAACAGCAACAAAGAGAGATCCACCATCAACATTACAACTGAACAGGCCCATCCGTGGCTGGTTATAACTAATGAAGAGAAACAAAATGGAAACCATATCAACTACCACACCTGCCTTAACAAAGAAAGGTCAGAAACGTCTTAGGACCAATGGAAACTGACTCACCACTGCAGGTGGGAGCTAGGATCTTCTCGCTGGCATAAAGCGGGGGTCCTGCCAGCTCTTCCTTGTAACTGGCTGAATTAGCTGGGTCAGGTTTGGGATTGGAAGTACCTGGCAAAGAGAGAAAACACCTTGTGAACCTATGTAAACAACGAGAACTGGCATGAGTGCATGAGTGTCTTTCAAAGCCTCCTCCTACCAAAACATGAAGGGAATCGTGAAGGCCATAGATTCCATTAAAGGACATGCATCTTAGAAGAACATGTCAGACCAGTACTCACAAGATGTCAAGAAAAACACAAAAAAGAGGAAAAGCAGAGTTAGAGAAAGCAATGAAGTCCACCCACATTTGAGTGAGGCTGTGCTGTCTGCAGGAAAAGTGCATGGACTCCAAGCCAGCTACACTGAGTTCCATCTTTACTTAGCACTTTGGATACACAGAACAGGGAGCTGCTAGCTCCACTGGACACTTTCATCATGTTTAATACAGAACAACCCCTCCAATCATAAGGATGATGTGAAGATTGGAGGAGTTATTGTATGCAGTGCACCTACTGGACCTCCAAGAATGGAATACAAAGAAAGTTCTTGCTATACATCTGCTAGCTTCCACTTATCCTAGTTCCAAACTATGTTACTAACGATTTCCCACCCAGGGCACTTCAGGGTGAACTTGCATCTATAAAAGAATATAAACATTGCCTAAGAATTCCTAGTCCTTCCATCTCCTTCCACTGGGTAAGCCATGCCCTCACCTCCTGAGACCATTTTGCCATAGTTCTCCAGCATGAGGTTCCAGTAGTGCTCCTTCTGAGTGGAATCCAAGTGCCTCCACTGATCCTGGAAAATATACAATGTCATGATTTAAAAAACAGCTCCAGAGAAAGGTACTTCATGGCGCCCAAAGGAAATCTGAAAATGAATGAATATACTGAAGGAATCTGAGGATCCAAAGCTCTGATAAATCTCTGGAGAGAGATTAATGGAAGAAGAAGCCAAGAGAAAAACTGCAGTCCCTACAGCAGTATTTCTTGTCCTGAGTAGAAAACATTTAGGTTTTTACTTGTATGTTTTTAAGTGGCATGCTTCTAAGGGTAAACTCTTCCTATTGAATGGGGAACATACTGGAGGTAGGTTTTTCAACCTCTCCACATTTAATAGTCCCAATATTTAAATTAATCTAGACATTCCAACGTAAAAACAAATGAGAATGTAATTTATTGGCAGTGCAAATTTGCATAAAAGAGAAAATAATAAATACAGAAGTTGACTGTGTTTAAGCCCCTTCCAGAAACATGACTGGTGTATTCAGAGTTAGGGCAACACAGCCCTGTAATTTTCAGAGTTCTGAGTTTAGGCTGTAACATTCATTCAATGGATTAGTTGTCATGAATAAGGTTGTCTTTGCATCTCCTCTAAATGAAAGTTCTCTGGTTGCTTAGTGGTAAGCAATTGTACTGCCAAACCAAAGGAAACCAGTTCAAATCTACTAGCTGTTCTACAGCAAAAGATGGACAAATTCTTCCCTTGAAATTTACTTGAAAACCCACTGGAGGGTCGGTTATGCGTAAGTTCCAACTAGAAAGTTCATAACAAAAATGAAGAAGAGGGAGCTTGGGTGACCTACTCTGTAGGGAACTATGCTATCAAGTCACAGGTGGTGCTTCTCTGGTGATTGAAATCTACTTGTGACTCCACAGGAAATAAATGGGGAATCTCCTCCCATATGATTTAAAGTTTCCAAAAACCTGTTGGAGAGTCAACTAAGTCAGTTCCAACTTAACAACGAGTATGACTTTTGAGCTACACAGAATTAAGACACTCAAAAGAGGAAGTGATACTGCCTTCTGGTTCTATGACCTTTAACAAGTTTTTAATATTTTTAAGTCTTAGTTCTCACCTAAATTCTCATCAAGAAAGGGGGAGAAATCACATTTACAGATCCCTTATGCTGCTTTACGAAGCTCAATACTTTTAATTCAAAGCATTCATCAAATTACTAGATGTTGAGTCCACAGTATCTCACAGTGATTCTATGAATCAGAAGAGAGGTGTGGGAAACATGAAGAGTTGAACATATAAAGGTCAAAAACTATTCCAAATCTTGGACAAGAACAAACTGGGAGGAGGGTAGAGAGAATAGTGCAACAATGAATGAGTGGAAGCCCAAAATCTCTGTAAATGTTTATGAAAATTAATAAAATATAATTATAGAAAAAAACAAAAAAAACTATTCCAAATCTATGCTGAATGAGTTCTAGGCACAAGATATACAAATAAGATGATTTCCAGGTGCAATGTAATCAATCTTTTGTAGAAAATGATGAAATAGTTAAAAAGAACCAAACACAACACAACACATGCAGAAGATCAAAGAGAACATACAGTATGAGTTCATTTATATAAAATCCTAGAAAATGCAAACTAATCTATGGTGACAGAAATCTCAATAGTAAGTTGCCAAGAATGGGAAGAGGAATTCAGAGAAAATTAAGAGAGGGATTCTAAATGAAGATGAGAAAATGCAAGCGTGATGGGCATGCTTATCCTATTTATAGCAGAGACAAACGGATGGCTTTGAAGAACAGAAATTTATTCTCTCCCATTTTAGGAAGCTAGAAGTTCAAATTTAGGCACTCGCTCCACAAGACTTTTTTTCCTCTCTCTCTGTCAGCTCTGGTGAAAGTCCTTGCCCCTTTTCAACATTTGTGAACAAATGCCTCTTCTAGCCATTTTGTTAGCCCTAGTTTAGGTGCAAGGAGGCCACACTCTCCAGTTACCTTAACTGTGGACACATGGTCTTCAACAGCTCTAGAACCATAAAGGTCCTCCAGCGATGATGGTGGCAGAGAGACTGTGAAGAGACTATAGCACTTCTGTGAAGAAACTATGGCAAGATGCAACCTGAGGCTACTTGTATTTGTGTTGACCACAGTTAGTTTTGCTTGCTAGATGACAGGAGGAAATGCTGATTTAGAACATTTGTAAGGCAAAACCAGAGGCTTCTTGAATTTGTGCTGCTGAACTGAAACCAGGATTTCACTAATTCAGGAATTTGCTTTGTGGTTAATCTGGCTTGGGTATTCTGGGCTAAACCTGAACTTGCACTGGGTGATATTCTTTGCCTCCTCACGGTCCCATTTATTTCCCTAATACACCTCACAATTGTGAGTAAAGTCTGTAAATCAACAATATTAATTTGAAATAGTAGAAAGAGCAGCTGCAGGGGTGGTGGCATGTCTGACCCAGCACATTATCTATTTGCTGCTATGGTTATTATTGATAGGGCCAGTTCCCATTTATGGAGCGGAGAAAAGTCAGACTCAGCCATCCCACATGCTCATGTTGCAGATTCTCTTTTTTTTCTACCCCCCACCCCATGACTGATTCTTTTTATTTATAACAATGTGAGATGCTCATTAAAGTTGTCACAAAGTTGCTGCAAAGTGGACGTTCTCCAACTCAGTTACATAAAGTTTACCAAAAAGAAAGGTGCAGGTTTAGTTTGTGGTTAATTAATAATTTTATCTGAACACACACTGGTATTCCCATCCCACCCTCAATGCCCAGGGCAGCAATACCATGGCTCCCTCCGGTTCTCTCCAAGGTGAGGAGCAGGGTCACCAAGATCCGAAAGCCAGATGCTTCCAGGGGATGGCCCAAGGCTATGGCCCATTTGGATGTTGATCTGCTTTTGCAACAGCTTGCTTTATTGTTGGAATTGGTCCTGTTCCCATAATGGAAGGAGGCACACTTACTTGTGACCAGGACACAATCCATGCTAAAGGGTTTAGACCACGACAAAGAGCTTCCAAACTTCTTCATCACAACCACAGCAGCAGCACCATCATTTATACCTGAAGCATTAGCTGCAGTGATTGTCCCTGTCCCATCTGAAAGAAACTGAGGCTTCAGCTTTGACATGTCTTCTAAGTTGCTCCCCTGTCAAGGAAACTCATCAGTTTTAATTTTAGTAAGACCTTTTCGAGATACAGACACAGGTAAAATCTTCTTGTCAAAATGGCCAGCTTTCTGAGCATGCTCTGTCCTGTTCTCGGATATGACTGAGATTTTATCTTGATCCTCCCGACTTACTCACCATTTTTTGGCTACATTTTCAGCTGTAACACCCATGTGATAGTTGTGAAATGCATCTGTGAGCCCATCACAGAGTACACTATTGAGGACAAGAGTCTCACCGATCCTTACTCCTGCTCTCAAGTGGACCAAGTGAAGAGCTTTGCTCACGTTTTCCATGCCTCTTGAGATCACAATGTTGGAATTGCCTGTCCTCACTGGCTGGGCTGCCAGGCACATGGCTTTTAAGCCTGACCCACAGATCATCTGGCAGCTCCATGCTGGAACACTGCAGGGGATTCCTGCCATTACACTGCCCTGTTGTACAGGATTCTGACTACAACATGCTGTTAAAACATGTCCAAATATGACCCCTGACACATATGCTTGAACCACACTGGCCCTCTTCAGGACTTCTATGATGACAGCTCTGGCGATGGCAGTCCGTGCTACGGAGACAATGATCAGGGGATCTGGATCTGAGCTCATCCTGCTGTTGTTGCTCTTGAAGCTGCTCCCACTCCTTCTGCTTCACTGCCGTCCGCGCTCTCGCAGATATTCTTACACCTAGGCATTCCTCAGTGACATACCTGTCTTGACCACTTTCTGCCCTAAGCCTATGAGTTTTCAAATCTCAAGTATGTGCTCTGCCCCTGACTCTTCATTCTTAGTAAAGTTCTCCCACTCTAACTTGTTTCCTTCTCCTTTTATCTCTCACAAGGGTGTTGTAGGTTTGAGAGAAGGTTTGTCTCATTGCACATCTTTTCCACTTTGTTTAGGTCTTAGATTTCTCTATTCGAAATGGAAATTAAATATACTCTGCCTTGCTTTTGAGAAACTCATCACCTGGGTCCTTTACTTGCTGATATGTCAACTCAAAGGGCTTAGGAGAGATGAGGAACCTCAAGTGCCTTTTGGGAAGGACTGACAGTTTCAATGGGGACTTTGAATGTGTTTATCTTTCATATTGAGACAAAACCCTGCTTGCTGAAACTGAGGAGGACCTGAAGCACTTGCTGCAGAGGGTCAAGGACTACAGCCTTCAATATGAATTGAGGCTCAATGTCAAGAAGACAAAGATTCTCACCACTGGGCCAAATGGCAGCATCAGGATGGATGCTGAAGAGATTGAGATTGTTCACTACTTTAGTTTGCTTGGCTCCAGAGTCAACATTCTTGACACCAGGAGCCAGGAAATTAAAAGGCATATTATGATGGGAAAGTCTGCTGTTAGGGACCTCTCCAAAGTCTGAAGAGCAATGGTGTCTCTTGAGACTAATGGTGCGTCTGATACAGGCCATAGTCTTTGCAATCACTTGTTATGCATCAGAGAGTTGGACAATGACAAGGGAGGATAGAAGGAGAATTGATGCCTTTGAGCTGTGGTGCTGGAGAAGAGTATTGAGGGTACCATGGATTGCTAGGAAAACAAACAGATTCATCCTGGAAAAGGTTAAACCGGGCGGCTCCTTGGAGGCAAGGATTCTGAGGCTCCATCTAACATACTTTGGACATGTTATAAGGAGGGACCGACTGGTCCTTGGAGAGGGACATCATGCCTGGTAGGGTGGAGGGACGGCGCAGGAGGTGAAGGCCCTCTATGAGGTGGACAGTTTCAGTGACTGGGGTAATTGGGATGGGAATGTCAGAGACAGTGCTGCTGGCACAGGACAGGGCAAAGTTTAGGTCTGTTGTACATAGGGTCACTATGAGTTGCAAGTGACTCGATGGCATACAAAAACAACAACAATGATCATTTTTACCATCTATACATAACCTAGCAATTGATTACAAATGTAAGTACTTGGGTAGTAGCCAAATGTTTAAAATAAAGAGGATATTTAAAAAAAAAAAAGTTCTAAAAAAGTTGTTATGTGCCGTCGAGTCGTTTGCGACTCATAGCGACCCTATGCACAGCAGCCCTAAACCCTGCTCTATCCTGCGCCAACCACACTGCTTCTGACACACCCATCCCGATTGCCCCAGTCACCGAATCAATCCATCTCATAGAGGGTCTTCCCCTCCTGCGCCGTCCCTCCACCCTCCCAAGCATGATGTCCCTCTCCAAAGACCCGTCCCTCCTGGCAACATGTCCAAAGTATGTCAGACGAAGCCCCAGAATCCTTGCCTCCAAGGAGGAGCTTGGTTTAATCCTCTCCAAGATGAATCTGTTTGTTTTCCTGGCAGTCCATGGTACATTCAGTAGTCTTCTCCAGCACCACAGCTCAAAAGCATCCACTCTCCTTCTGTCCTCCCTAGTCATTGTCCAACTCTCTGATGCATAACAAGCGATTGCAAATACCATGGCCTGTATCAGGCGCACCTTAGTCTCCAGAGACACTGTTGCGCCTGAGTACTTTAGAGAGGTCCCTAACAGCAGACTTTCCCATCGTGATACGCTTTTTTATTTCCTGACTGCTGGTGCCAAGAGTGTTGACTGTGGAGCTGAGCAAACTGAAGCTGTGAACAATCTCAATCTCTTTGCCATCCATCCTGACGCTGCCAACTGGTCCAGTGGTGAGAATCTTTGTCTTCTTGACATTGGGCCTCAGTCCATACTGAAGGCTGCAGTCCCTGACCCTTCGCAGCAAGTGCATGAGGTCCTCCTCAGTTTCAGCAAGCAGGGTTGTGTCATCTGCATAACGCAGATTGTTAATAGATCTTCTACCAATCCTGATGCCACAATTCTCCTCATAGAGCCCAGCCTCTCGGATAATCTGCTCTGCATACATGTTCAAAAGGTATGGAGACAGGATGCATCCCTGGCGCACACCCTTCCCAATTTTGAACCAAGCAGTGTTACCCTGCTCTGTTCTGACTACTGCCTCTTGGTCCAAGTATAGGTTTCGCATTAGCACAATTAAATGTTCTGGGATTCCCATTCTTCTCAGAGTCAGCCACAGTTTGTTATGATCCACACAGTCAAATGCCTTTGCATAATCAATGAAGCACAGATAGACATTCTTCTGGTATTCTCTGCTTCTAAAAAATTTATATATATAAATTTTTTTTCCTACCTCGAGAAGAAATAATTTCCCTTGAGGGAAATAATGAAATTGAAGTTTTTCTTCATGTGTATTGCTCCTGTTATCCTAGAGAGGCCCTGTTCTCCACTGTACTTCTGATAAGGCACTCATTTCCATTTTCCTGACTATTGGTGAATGATCAAAACTGGGTCAGAGAAGACTAAAACCAATGACTACAAACTTCATTAAAGAAAAGCTTGGAAAAACTCTAATCCACGACATAAACAGTCTTCCAAACATTCTGAAAAATCTACAACCAGGAGAAGATAAAACAGATGAATGGGACCTTCCAAGAATCAAATCCCTATGAACATCCAAACACTTCTCCAACAGGGTAAAAAGGTAAGTCACAGACTGGGAAAAAGTATTTGGTAATGACATGTCCGATAAGGGACTTATATCTAGAGTTTATAAAATACTTGAGCACCACAAGATAAAGGTAAATAATCAAATTGAAAAATGGGTACAGGATATGAATAGACACTTCACCAAAGAAGACATTCAGATGGCCAACAAGCACATGAAATGTTCAAAATCCCTAGCTCAAAGAGAGATGCAAATAAAAAGAATTATGAGATATCATCTCACCCCAGATAGAATAGAAAAATTTAACAGAACAGCAAGCAACAAATGCTGGCGAGGTTGTGGAGAAACTGGAACCCTTATTCAGTGTTGGTGGAAGTATAAAATGGTACAACCACTGTGGAAGGTGGTGTGCCACTTTCCAAAAAGTTGAAAATAGAGATACCATTTGACCCAGCAATTCCACTACTGGGAATATACCCCAAAGAGACCATAACTGACACCGAAGCAGATATATGCACACTCTTGGTAACAGCAGCCAGGAAATCAAGAGACGAATTGCATTGGGAAAGTCAGCTGTGAGGGACCTCTCAAGAGTACGGAAGAGCAACGATGTCAGACTGGAGACTAAGGTGCGCCTGGTTGGGCTATAGTCTTCACAATTACGTGCTATGCATCAGAGAGTTGGACAGTGACTAGGGTAGAGAGAAAGAGAACTGATGCCTTTGAGCTGTGGTGCTGGAGAAGAGTGTTGAATATACCATGGACTGCTAGGAGAACAAACAGGTTTGTCCTGGAGAGGGTGATGCCAGAATGTTCCCTGGAGTCAAGGATTCTGAAGCTTCGTCTGACATATTTTGGGCATGTTGCAAGGAGGGACTGGTCCTTGGAGAGGGACATCATGTTTGGCAGAGTGGAGGGGCGGCGAAGGAGAGGAAAACCTTTGATGAGATGGATCGATTCTGTGACTACAGATGTGGGAATAAGTGCGTTTGAGATGGCTAGGTTGGCACAGGATAGAAGAGCGTATAGAGCTCTTGTACATAGGGTCGCTATGAGTCGCAAGCGACTCGATGGCACATAACAACAACAACAACAACATGTTTATCGCAGCTCTGTTCACAATAGCAAGGAGTTGGAAACAACCTAAGTGTCCATGAACAAATCAGTGGATAGAGAAGCTGTGGTATATTCACACAATGGAATACTATGCTGCACTGAAAAACAAGGGATTTACACAATATTATTAAAAATGAGTGATCCTGGAGGACATTATGCTGAGTGAAATATCTCAATCACAAAAGGACAAATACTGCATGGTGCCACTGTTATAAACAGGACTGACATAGCTGCTGGGGGAGACTGAGAAAGATGGGATAAATAATGTATACTGCATTGAAACAGAGAAGGGAGAAAACTGTTTAAAAGGGATATGTGATTAGGTATTATTGTCATGACAGGAGTCCAGAAAGAAGGCTGCATTGTGGAGTGGACCTGGTGGCAGGAGGGTATATAAAACAATGAAAGAAATTTTCTTTTACTTTTCAAAGAGAAGAGTGTACTGTGGGGGAAGAGGGGGCAGGCCAGGGAGAAAAGTAAAAAAAAAAAAACAATAAAAAACTGAAACGGACTAAAGCAAACTTTCAAAAAGTTGAACTTATTTGTTTATGTGTTAAAAACAATTAAAACCTCATTAAGTTTAAAAAAACAAAAAATATACAAACATTAAAAAAACCCCTAACTTTTCTATAAATGTTTGTGAAAAATCACAATTAAAATGAAATTTTATTTAAAAAAAAACCAAAACACAAAACTGGGTCAGAGGCAAAAAAAAAAACAGAGAAACTTTGCTCACCTGAGATGATGCTTGAAGAAAGAAGCCTTCAGTGTCCTGGTCAGTGATGAGCCTTTCCACAGGTCTCAAAAGAAGCTGAGGAGCATCCATCACTGAAGTGAGAAATAGGAAGTTTTAAGAATTTAGGTGTATTCCTCAGTCATTCCACAGAAGTCTTTGATTGAAAAAAAAAACACAGAAACTAAAATATTTGACAAATTAGAACTGATAGTTCCAGGCACAATTTCAAGATTTGTACTTTCATCAGTAATAAAGTCCACATCCCTCTAACATCCAAAGAGACTCACCCAAATACTGCTTCCTTTTCTTCCTCAGGCCCCAAAGCCAAATGGCCTAACACAAATATAAAGTTGAAATGAACACACTGTCATCTCTTATTCAGAGTGACTTATGGACATCGACCTTGGTCCCAAAATTTCAAAGAATGTTTTAAGCTAACATACTTTCAACTCAGAAAGCCATAGAGGCCTAACTTTCTCCAAAGCCCCCAATACAGCCATGAATAATAACTGGTGCTCACCTAACTCTGGCTCAGTGTCAGCTTCCTCTTTGATGATGTGGTTCAGTTGTTCCTCGGGCCCTGAAGCTGAATTCTCAAGTCCCAGCTCCTGAGGCACCACTTCAAGACTGGCCTCTGCCTCCCTTACTTGGAAGCTTGCAGATTCCACCTCCACAGGTGAACTTTCTTGTCCCAGAACCTGGCTGCTGATCTAAAGACCACATATTATTAGTTACTGAAGGATGCTGATTTGTAATGCCTAGAAACATGAAGTGAATCTTTTACAACAGATTACTTTAGAAAAGGTAATGGGGAAGAAAAAAAGCAAGCTTCATTTTCTCATTCAGCACATATTTCTAGCCATTGATGGAAATATCATAAGATAGGCCAACTGCTGGCACTAATCAGGCTTGTAAGACCTTCAAGAAAGACCTTGCTAAGAGGTTTCAAATAAACAGTTTGTACCAATAAAAAGGTAAACAAATGAAAACACTCTAATGTTAAGTTATAATCAAACCACAGGTTGTATCTGCACTTTCTAATAGCTACATTGCAGACAATTACTAACAAATGCAAAAAATTAAAGCTGGGTAAGGATTCATGCCACTCACATCATGGTGCTCAACACCATGAGCAGAGGAACTCTTTGAGCTTTACTTAGCTATAAGTTTCATGTAAAGTAAATGACGAGATCATTTTTATAATATTGCCACTTGGTAGATTCAAAGCACTTACGTTACAGTTAATAGTCAAGTACAAACCATGTGTACCATCCAGCACACTGAGAGGCATGCAGCAGTGTAGATGAGGCATGAGGACACCTCAGAGGGACCCCAGATTACTATACCCTCTGCTTACCCACTGCCACAGTCTCTGGGGCTCGCCCTTCAAGCTCTCCACAAGAGTAACAGCCTCCTCTCCACTGCCAGGACGCTGTGTGCGCACCCACATCTGGATCTCCCCAGGCAGGATGGTCAGTAATTGCTCCAACATGAGGAGCTCCAGGATCTGCTCTTTACTGTGAACCTCTGGCTGCAGCCACTGGAAACAGAGCTTCCGGAGTTGCCTCAGGGTCTCGTGGGGCCCAGACAGCACTTGGTACTGAAAGTGTCTGAAAAGCTGCCGGGCAGCTTCAAGGCTACAGAGTTCCCCTTGAGGGGCAGTACCTACTCCAGAGAGTGAGGTGTTCTCTGCCTTTGCCAGTGGTGGTACCTGGACTAGAGGCTGTCCCATCTCCAAAGTCATCGTCGTGCTTATTAAATTCTTTAACATCAGCAAAGTCCTTCTGGTTGGAATGATTCTCTAGGGATAATCAGGTCTTCACACAGCCTCTTACTGGGACACTGTGGGAAAGAAGACATCCAGTGATGCAAAGAAACGTCTCGACTTTAGAAAGAAACAGGGCCTTCTGAGAAGCCCTGCACTCAACCATGGTTCTCTCAAATTGCCCAAGGATTGTCAAAAAGAAAACAGCTGGTAATGAGACAATTCCAACTCAGGTGGACCCACCTTTCTCAGAGTGGAGCTGTGCTCTATTTACAGCGCTGCCCAGGGCTGGATGGTTACTCAGATGTAATCACCAGGTCTTTCTCTCATGGTATTACAGAGTACATTCAAATTCCCATCTTTAAATCAACAGTAGAGGATGTTAACTGTTTACACCACAAGAATCTCATTGGGTTTATTCTTCTATTTGTAAATAGCTTTGTAGCCAAAAAGCAAACCACTGATATCATATATAAACTGTCACCATCAGCCTGTTCACATGATAACATTTTTTTTTTGGTCTTGCAAGTCCACATTAAACAGAAAATATCATCTGCCTTTTCAAGCATTTTCACTACCAGCTTCCAGAGAAATACATCTGTATCTATATTTGTTTATTCGGAGACTGAATAGTGAAGCTGAATAATTACACCAGCACCCATCCATCTTGAACAAAAAAATCTTCCTCTAGCTGTCACCCAAAGATTCCTCTTTTATTCCTGTTGTTAGGTTCCGTCAAGTTGAGTATGACCCATAGTAATCCTCTGAAAAATAAATCTGAACCCTGTCTTATCCTGTAACATCCTCACAATTCCTAACACATCAGAGCCCAATGCAGCAGTAACTATTACCAACACAGCCGGTTGAGGGTCTTTCTCTCCTTTATTAACCCTCTGACTTTCCAAGCATGATGTCCCCCTCCAAGGAACAGCCTATTCTAGAACATGCCAGAAAGATATAAGACGAAGCTTTAGCATCTTTGTCTCCACTATCTCTGGTTCCACTTTCTCTAAAACCTATCTGTTTGTTCTTTTGGCAGCCCATGGGATATTCAGGACTCTTTTCCAATATAATTCAAAGGCATTAATTCTTCTGCATCCTTAGTCACTGTCTAACTTTCAGAAGAATATAAAATAATTTAAAAGATCATAGCTTGCCTCAGGAACACCCTCACCTTTAAACTGACATCCTTGCTCTTCAACATTCTATAGAGGTTGCTGATAGCAGATTTTAAAATGTAATATACCATTTCATTTCCTGACTAGTAGTACCAAAAGTGTTCACTGTGAATCCAAGTGAGATGAAAAGAGTGACAATTTTTATCTCTTCTATTGTAATGTGGCATACTGGCCCAGTGGTGAGGCATTTCACTTTCTTGAGTTTGAGATGAAATGCGTATTGAAGGCTGCAGTGTAATCTTCTACAGCAAGCACTCAAGTCCTCCTCACTTTTCCCAAGCAAAGTTGTGTCATCTGCATAACACAGGTTCTTGGTCACTATTCTTCAGATTCTGATGCCCCAGTTCTCTTCAAAATGTTGGCTTCTCCTATGATTTGCTCAGCACATTGATTGGTTGGTATAAAGAAAGGGTACAGCCCTAATGTACATCTTTCTTGATCTTAAATCATGTAGTGGGATGCCATCAAAGATTCCATTAAGGACCCCATGATTTTTAAAACTTGTTTTGATCAAACAGCCACTTACATGATCTGTATTTGTTCCCATTCCCAAGAATGGTGAGCCAACAACAGAATGTCGAAATTACGGAACAAAATCACTACTATCACAAGCAAACAAAAGACTGCTGATCATCATAAAAAATGGCTAAAACAGTACACAGACCACTGCTAGAAGTTCAAGCAGGATTTAGAAGAGGCCATGGCACCAGAGATACCATTGCTGATGTCAGATGAATCCTGGCTGAACGTAAAAAAATACTAGAAAAATACTTATGTTTTATTGACTATAAAAAGGCATTTGACTGTGTGGACCGTAAAAACTATGGTTAGCATAGAAAAGAATGGAAATACCAGAAATTGTGCTCATGCCAAATGTATATCAAAATCAATATGCTGTTGTGTGAACAGAGCAAGGGAACATTAGCTAGTTTAAAATTAACAAAGGTGTGATCAAGGTGGTATCCTCTCTCCATAGCTATTCAATCTGTATGCTGAGCAAATTATTTCAGAATCTAGTCCTATGAATAAGAATGTGAAACCATGAAAGGAGGAAGACTCATCAACAATCTGTGTTTTCAGGTGACACAACCTTGGTTGTTAAAAGTGAGGTGGAAAAAAGATGTGGTTGTTTCCTCAAAGTGCTGGTGGATGGACAAATCAGCGATTAGATACCTAAATGGAATGAAAATTGAAGTAGCTGATTTACACAATTTTATGAAAGTAGTTGTTGGTAAGATGATTTTAAGGGAGAAAATAAAAACACCAAACCAACAATAAAAATGAATGAAATATGATGTAAAAGAAGAACTATATGGAACAATATATATATATATATATATATATATATATATATATATATATATATATATATATATGATAAAAACATTAATAAGAAGTAAACCTAGACCTACAACCAGGAGAAGATAAAGTAGATGAATGGGATCTTCTAAGAATCAAATCCCTATGCACATCCCAAAACTTCTCCAACAGGGTAAAAAGGGAAGCCACTGCCTGGGAAAAAGTATTTGGTAATTACATATCAGATAAGTGACTTATATCCAGAATTTATAAAATACTTGAGCACCACAACAAAAGAAAGGTAAATAATCCAATAGAAAAATGGGCACAGGATATGAACAGACACTTCACCAAAGAAGACATTCAGATGGCTAATAAGCACATGAAGAAATGTTCAAAATCCCTAGCTCTAAGAGAGATGCAAATTAAAACGACTACGTGATATCATCTCACCCCAGACAGAATAGAAAAATTTAAAAGAACAGCAAGCAACAAGCACTGGCAAGGTTGTGGAGAAACTGGAACCCTGATTCACTGTTGGTGGGAGTGTAAAATGGTGCAACCACTGTGGAAGGTGGTGTGGCATTTTCTCAAAAAGTTGCAAATAGAGATACCATTTGACCCCACAATACCACTACTGGGAATATATGCCAAAGAGACCATAACAGACATCCAAGCAGATATATGCACACCCACGTATATCGCAGCTTTGTTCACAACAGCAAGGAGTTGGAAACAACCTAAGTGCCCATCAACAAATGAGTGGATAGAGAACTGTGGTATATTCACACAATGGAATAATATGATGCATTGAAAAACAAGGAACTCATGCAATATTATTCAAAATGGATGACTCTGGAGGACATTATGCTGAGTGAAGTATTTCAGTCACAAAAGGACAAATACTGCATAGTGCCACTGTTGTAAAACAGGATGGACCCTGGGTTTGGGGGGAGACTGAGAAAGATGGGTTCAATAATGTATACTGCATTGAAAACAGATGAAGGAGAAAACTTTAAAAGGGATATGTGATTAGGTATTTTTGTCATGACAGGAGTCTAGAGCGATGGCTACATGGTGGAATGGACCTGGGGGAGGGTTTGTAAAACCATGAAAGAATTTTTCTTTTACTTTTCTAAAAGAGTAGTGTTCTGAGGGGTGCGGAGGGTTGGGAGGGGAGAAATGTTCAACAATGAATGAATGGAAATCCAAAGTCTCTGTAAATTTTTACTGAAATTAATAATAAATTTAAATTTAAAAAATTTAAGTTAGAGTAAGAAAGGCAATGGATTTATAACTGCTCATGCTAATAACACTATATCATGGCATGGAGGAGGAATAGTGGAACATTTACAATATTCTTCTTACCAAAACCATGTATGGAAAATAGGAACTGCAATGGGACATGTATCTCTGGATTGGAAATGATCATATTGATAATACTTCTAACCTTAAAAGATGATTCTGTTCAAAATTATGTTTTATATATTTGTTTAAATTTTTCCTTCTTTTAACTGGGATCTAGAGGGAAGAGAAAAGACCAGAGAATGGCCAAAATTATTGAGGCAGCTATTGCTGCCAGTTTAGGGCCTGTATCAGGAAAAGGAGGTCTTACTCATAAACAATGCCACCCAAAGGTAATAAAGGAGGTCAGAATTGCTTCCACTGTGGAAAGCTGGGCCATGCCACTTCAGTAGACAGTGTCACAGACAAGAGTCACAAATAGGCAAGGGTGTAGAAAGGAAGCTCCCACTCATTTGCTTTAAGTGTGGATCTGAAGGACACTTGGCCAAGGGCAGCCCACATCAGGTCCTTGTGGCTGACAGGACTGACAGGCCCCAACTCCCAGATGGAAACAAAGGAGGACGCTTCAACAATTCAGATCCTCCCAGAAGAGTAGTGGGTGAGCATTAATATTACTGGTAAGTATATTCATTTTCTCCTGGACACAAGAGCCTATTATTTGGTCCTAAAAGCCTTCTGAGATCCCAACTCTTCTCACTATTTCTTAGTTGTTGGAATTGACGGAAAACCTCATAAACAGTTCCTTACTTCACCTCTACATTGCATGTGGACTTCTGAGTTGTAAAACAACTCAGTGGTAGAAGAAATTTGGTCAAGGACTTAAGAACAATAAATGGCATAGTTGAGCCTCTACATCTTGTGGTTCCTAACCTTTATACTATAATAGACAAAGTGCTAGTCAATAAACCTTTTATTTTAAGAACTACTTTCCCTCTATAACTTGATTTGTGCCACTGTTAGAACCTCTACTTGGAATATTATTGCTTTTAATTTCTGACTCATGTACTTTCAACTTGTTAAATTTGTGTCTTCTAGGCTGCAACAGTTCCATGATGCATCTTCAAGGATATGAACATGTACGGCTAAGCACAATTGATAACAGTGCATCTAAATTCCAAAATCAATCTCCTCAACAGTCTATGTGTTTCCTATTGCCAAATGTGTTTCCTATTCCCTTTAGAGTAGTGAGAGAAGATC